AATGGGTTATCGTTGTAAAGATATCCAAAGAACTGTGGTAAGTTAGTGAAAGACAATCCTGACTACTATAGCTGGTTTTCCGCGAAACATATGTAAGTATGTGGTTTAATTACATCATAGCAGGTACAGAACTGTGATCTCGGACAATTGTGCATTATTTTTCGGAGGGATTTTATTACCCTTTGGGGTTATATACCCTCTTTAGGATTGTAATGCCCTGTGCATATGGGGGGGTCGTGAAGACTCTATTCGCGAGGATTTGCTCTCAAGGGCAATGATGAATGTTGAACTATCAGACATTTAACGATAAGGTTGTATGTCAAAAGGGAAACAGCCCAGAACAAGTGTTTAAGGTTCCAAAGTTTTTGTTAAGTGAAAGTAAGGAAGTATTTAAACTATACAACCAGGAAATAGGCTTAGAAGCGGCCATTTTTAAAGACCTCGTAACAGAGCACTGGTTCAAAAGGTTAATTAGTTAACCTTAAAAGTTAAAAGCGCCGAAGATATAACGGATCTAAAACAAAACACCGACACCTTGTCCATAAGAATATTATTAGGCTTAAGCAGGATCCATCATTAAAGATAGGAATAAGTTAAGCCTATTTTAATATACTTAAAGTTATTTAAGTATTATTTATGGGGTAGCGGAACGTTGGGTAAATTAGTATTGCAAACAGATGCTAGGTATATCTATATAAGAGGAAGGTACCATGAGTTCAATAAAAACACAGATAGCAATTACTCTTTGCAAAATCAAACAACACCTGTATTTATTATCGAGTAGGATGAACGTTGTATATATAGATGAAAGTTTGCTTGGCTGCATAAACAGTAAATTACAATAAAATATCCCAAGTGAGAATGCTGACATGAGTAACGAAAAAGAGTAATCTCTCGCCTTAAGCTTATGGGTTAGTCGAGGAGAATGATCCCTATAAGGGCTGAACTTGGATTAAATCGGTCTCTAAATTTAACCTAAAGGGTAAAGTGATGAGGAAAAAGGAAATGTTTTGACAACATAAACTAGAGTAAAATGTTCTGGAAAAAAAACATACTTCTGAAGGAATTATATGAATTCCGAGGGCGAAAAGAGAAAAAACTATAAAAGTATTAAAATATTTTTTTGCATTTTTTTTCTTAGGAAATAAACTATAGCTCAATTTAAGATTAAGAAAAAAAACCGTACCTAAAAACTACCACAAGTAAGCTAGTAGAGAATACGAAGGCGTTTGAGCTAACAACCATTAAGGAACTCGGCAAATTGACACCGTAACTGAGGGAGAAGGTGTGCCATTCCTACTGATTAATATCAGGATAGGAAGAGGAGACATAGAATGGTGTTGCACGACTGTTTAATTAAAACACAGCACTTTGCGTAAGATGTAAATCAATGTATAGAGTGCGCTATCTGCCCAATGATGGCTGGTTAACGGATTTTCTTAGACGACTAAAATAGTTTAGGTTTTGAAGGAACCCCCCATTTAATGGCGGCCTTACCTATAAGGGTCCTAAGGTAGCGAAATACCTTGGCATTTAAATGATGTCGCGCATGAATGATCTCACGATGCAACAGCTGTCTCAATGGTTGGCTCAGTGAAATTGGAATGGCAGTGAAGATACTGCCTATCTCTAGATAGACGAGAAGACCCCATGCAGCTTTACTGTTACTAGTTATAGGGTATAATTTGACAGGTTCTAGTGAATAAGGTAGTTGCTATACACAATTGAAACACCTTTACTCTGACTGTTATATCAGTAGAATATGTTTACATTCATATTGTTTACCGACGTCTGAAGGTAATCCAGAAAAGGAGATAAATCTCAGGAGACAATGGCTAGCAGATGGTTTATGCGGGGCACAGATCCCATAAAGAGTACCTGGGAGTATCCAAATTTAATTTTGTAATATGCAATACGCAAAATACATAGGGCTTTATTAAATTATTGCTTTATGTATTTTTAAATTAATTATATTTAGTTTGTTATTTTTTATATTTACTTTATATGTGCAATCCAGGTGCATAATTGACTATTCACTAGTCAAGAAACGAAATAAAGGTTTAAGTATCTATAACTAATTCAGTTATATTTCTATTTGAGTTAGAATTAAAACAATTTAAGCTAAGTAAGATTTTACCTATGTGGAAAATAGGTGTATATATGGTATTAATCATTAATAATTACTTACAAGTTTTTATATAGATAATACTATCAGTTATTTTTAATCATAATAAAAATGATATTGATATATACTTCCAAAGTTTAATGGTTAATCTTGCTTTACTGTTTGACATACACGTCTATCAGTTGCGTAAGCAGGGCATAAAGACCGCAAGACGCAGTAAGGAAAGGTCTTGTATTATTGAAAAAGCTACGCTGGGGATAACAGGCTAATTGCGCCAGAGAGTACAAATTGAGTGCGCAGTTTGGCACCTCGATGTCGGCTTAGCTCATCCACATGAATGTAGGAATCATGAAGGGTACGACTGTTCGTCGATTAAAGAGCTACACGAGCTGGGTTAAATACGTCGTGAGACAGTATGGTTTCTATCTTCTAGAGGAAATTAGAGTAAAATAAGGATAGCCCCTTCGTACGAAAGGAGTTGGGTATGGTAACCTATGGTTTACCTGTTGTTTATACGCTGAGATATTAAAAAGGGTTGAGAACGAGAATAGGTTATTCTTAGTAAATGGATAATGGGTATCTTGTGAATAAGAACAGTAATACAGATTAATTTGTAAAAAACTAATTTCCTATATCAAATTCAAAACATCTAACTAGGGAATACACTAAAAAAGATGACTCTAGTTACGATTGGTAATACTTAATACTCAAGTATTTATTTATAGTATAGGCATGGCAGGAAAGCTATGTTAGTTAAGATAAGTGCTGAATGCATCTAGGCACGAAGCTTACCTTAGGATACTCTTAGAAACGTAGTATAACATTACGATCCGCACGTATGTTAGTTATAACATATTAGACTGTAATTATTCCATTCTATCGCCGTGGCGATGGTAACCGATTGCAATGGATAATAGGCTTTGGCTGTAAGGGCTTTGATGTTCTAAGGTATAAAGTACTAATTTTTTGGAACTAGGATATTAACTAGTTGATAATTACAGGGTTTCACTAACTAAATAACATACTTATCATAAAAAATACACTTTAGCCTGGTTTGCATAATAGTAATGCACCCGTTTTGTAATCGGAAGATATGAGTGCAAATCTCGTACCGGGCTAGTTACAGATACGGATTGATGTAATAGTAACATACCTGGCTCATGCCCAGTAAATAGGGGTGCAAATCCTCTGTCCGCATAGCCTCTATACACGTAAAGGCTATAGCTTAATAGGTAAAGCAAGCTGCTCATAATAGCTCAGATGAGTGTTCGAATCATTCTGTCAAGTCGTTCTTCGGATAAGGCTTTAAATAAGCCTAAATAAAATATATGCTATTATTAATAAAAAAGATTATTAAAGTTTAGTAATTTTTCAGCTTTTTAGCTTTATATGTTTAAATTTTACTTTGTTATTCCTTTTTTAGTATGTATTTTCAATCTACTATAATTTGTTTCGTATATACTTTTGTTTTTCTGATATGCTTTTTAGTTACACAGTTATATAAACATTATATTTTTGTATAACACATGCTTTATTATTTTATTACAGAAGCAAAAGCAGAATTAAACTAGCATTTTAGCTAACATTGTAAGCTGTTAGTTTAAGCTATCATCTTTAGTTATCTTTTTAAACTATCGGTTTAAGTTTTATATCAGCTCTAAGGCCCAATAGTCAAGTGGTTAAGACATAACATTTTCACTGTTCTATGCACGGGTTCGAACCCCGTTTGGGCTTAACAAAAATAAAGGTTTATAAACTTAAGGGGATATAGTTTAATTGGTATTATTCATTTATTATTATATAAAAAATACAAAAGATCATTTTGCAAAAAAGATTGTATTTTATTTTTGATTTCTTTAAAAACAAAAAAGTATGTTGAGCTTTTTATGTTGCGTCTTTCTAATACCTTATTTATTTGTAAGTTTATTTTCCTTTTCCTATTAAGATTTAAATTTTAAATTAAGTTCTATCCGTTACTCCCCTATTCGTGTATGATAACATGGAAGATCAGAAAGCAGAATTTTGAAAGGATAATAAAGGTAAGTCTGGTGTTTACAGGTGAATAAATACAGTTACTGGTAGTTCTTATGTAGGAAGTAGTACGGTTCTAAACAGAAGAATTAAATGTTATTTAGATACTAATTATCTTAAAACATATAAACATAGGTCTGTTATATACTCAGATATTCTAAAGTATGGTTTAAGTGTTCAGGTTGGAGATACTTGAGCGTTGTGCTAAAGAAGATGTTACTTTGAGAGAACAGTTTTATTTAGATACTATAAAATCAACCTACAATATACTTAAATTGGCTGGTTCTTCATTAGGGTTTAAGCATTTTTACTCCACTATAGTACAAATGAAGGAAAGAAATAATAATAACCATCCTTTTTTAGGTAGAGAACACAGTGAAGAGTCTAAGTTAAAAATGTCTTTTTCATCTCGTCTATATTCACCAGTTAAATAACTATATCTTGAAACAGGTAAGGAAAAACTTTTTAATTATAATGTACAAGCTGCTAATTTCTTAAAGATTAGTGAATGAACTATTCTAAATATAAAAAGAATGGAGCTGTCTTTAAAAATAGATGAAGTATATTAGCTGTAGATAAATAGGGGTAACTTACAAAAAAAAAAAAGCCCAGGTAGCTCAATTGGTAGAGCGAAACTTTGAAGGTGTTTAGGTTATAAGTTCAAATCTTATCTTGGGCGTGAGTAGATAACCATCGATCTTCCTCTATAGAAGAAAGAGTGGTAATTATATCAGCTAGTAGATACTGGCCACAGTCGAGACATATATAAATCCCACTCCGGTTTAAATAGATTAATGTGGTTTTATTGTACTTTTATTAGGAGCAAGAAAATTTTTAAACAAAAGAGAAATTAGCTCAATTGGTAGAGCAAAATATATCTTGATCAGTGTATTGGGTTAAAGGTTCGAATCCTTTATTTCTTACCCTTTAAAAATTTCTAAGGGGATATTAAGAATTCATATATTTAGTTTAATTTAAATGGAAAAAAATGGGTATGCTGAAATTGGTAGACAGGTCCCGCTTAGGACGGGGTGAAGTTAATTCATATAAGTTCGAGTCTTATTACCCATAAAATTTTTATTTTTATAACTTATTCTATACATAGATTTTTAAATATATTAAATAACTCTTAATCAAAATAAGACTTTTTATTTTTGAAAGAACTATTGTTTATAATTGACCGTTGTATGAGCAGTGGTATCCTTATTACATTTATATTTATCCCATAAAGTTTATTAAATTCAGCTAATATATTAGCATACACAAAAAAAGCCTGTGCAAAAGGCATAAATATGTTTTTATTTATATGGTTCAAACCCATAGGCAGACTCAGATTTTGTAAATATATTTAAAGTGTGACGGAATATTACTATCCTGTTAAAGATGCTATTGCTTCACAAAGTCAAACATTTGACAACAATACACATATAATACTGTTAATTACAAAGGTTATAAGAATTATCGAGGTAATAGTGCATCAAGGGTAAGAATGGATCTGGTGGTAATAGTGGTGAGGTTAATTCCAACAATATTGCAAAAGGTTTCAGCTTTCTAGGTTTTCTATATAAATTAACGGAATTAACTTATTTTCTAGATGACATAAGAACAAATCTTATAAATGAAATAAATAATAGCCCTATTATAATTACCTTTACGCAAAGAGGTTTTAGAGTTAACAGCTTAACAATACAATGACTATGTGTAAAGTTTGTAATAAAAACATTAGTAGGTTTAATAATATCAATAGTGAACGGACTAATCTCAGAATATTTAACATAAGTATTAACGTTTTAGTAACTAGGTCAAGATATTACGTTTGTTGTTATTAAAGGTAAGAAAAGATACTTAAAAATATTAAAAATCTAACTTGTGATATAAAATGTAAGTTATATTTACTTTATTAACTTAAAGATCATAATATAACAGGAAAGTCCGTGATTTAAACATAACTTTGGAGATTAAAGTGAGGCACAAGCCTAGGTAATTCACAGAAAATATAAAAAATAAAAACCTAGCGTGTTTTATTTTATTTAAAAAGAAAGCCTGCATATCATATTTATACATCATATTTATACATCATATTTATACATCATATTTATACATCATATTTATACATCATATTTATACATCAAAAATTTACAATTAAAAAAAATTATTAAAATATCTAATATATTTATTTAACAGATATACTCGTACTATCCTTTAAAATATGCCATCTTTATGTGTAACTTTATAATAGTCTATTTTTATTAAACAATGTTATATATACAAACAAATATGTCCATTCTTGAAGTGTGATTCATTACAGGTTGTTTTTTATTAGGTATTATAATTATAAGTATATTGCTTATGTCTAGTAATTATAATGCTAATACTAATTTTTTGGGTAGTACAGCTGGTGAAACCTCTAATCCTAGGCAAAAATTAAGTATAATGTTAATAGCTCAACTTTTACATAATAATGCTAACCCTAATAGACCTCTTAATTACCAGGGTTTTCCTTTAAATCACCCGGGGTACCTAGATAATGAAAAAAAAACTAAGCTGGTCTCTATTCTTAAATGGTTTGATTTATATATTAGATAGCGGATATTTTATTAATTATACTTGTGCTATTACAAAGTTTATCTTGTTTTATCTATAATATACAAATTCTAAAATAAAGCATAGGAAATAAGTATTATTTACAAAGATATTCTTTAAAATTACACGCTAAAAATTATTAAAATATCTAATATATTTATTTAACAGATATACTTGTACTATCCTTTAAAATATGCCATCCTTATGTGTAACTTTATAATAGTCTATTTTTATTAAACGATGTTATATTTACAAACAATTATGTCCATTCTGGAGGTATTAGCTATTACCGTGCCTGTATTATTAACCGTAGCTTTTATAACCATAGCAGAAAGAAAAACGGGCCCAATGCAGTTGGTTGATACGGTCTACTTCAAGCTTTTGCAGATGCCCTTAAACTTTTATTAAAAGAATATGTTTCTCCTACACAAGCGAATATATTTTTATTTTTTCTTGGTCCTATTATAACTTTAATATTTTCATTATTAGGTTATGCTGTTATACCATATGGTCCTGGTTTAATGATACTAGATTACAATATTGGTATACTATATCTTTTAGCTATGTCTTCCTTAGCTACATATGGAATATTATTAGCAGGATGATCTGCTAATTCTAAATATGCTTTTTTAGGTTCTTTAAGGAGTACAGCTCAATTAATTAGCTATGAATTAATATTAAGTTCTGCTATTCTTCTTGTAGTGTTATTAGCAGGTAGTTTAGACATAACTGTTATTATAGAAGCTCAAAGAGCTATTTGATATATAATACCTTTATTTCCTATATTCCTTGTGTTCTTTATAGGATCTATTGCAAAACAAACAGAGCACCCTTTGATTTGGCAGAGGCTGAATCAGAATTAGTTAGTGGGTTTATGACTGAACATTCAGCTGTTATTTTTGTATTTTTCTTTTTAGCTGAATATGCTAGTATTGTACTTATTTGTATTTTAAACAGTATTTTATTTTTAGGTGGTTATCTTTTTGACTTTAACTATTTCCTTTATCCATATTTATTGTTATTACAAAATATTGCTGGTGATAGTTATATGTCTTTAACAGATAATGAATCTAATTTTAATGTTATTAACTTTGATAATTATAGTACAGTAATAGGAACATTAGTAAGTGGTTTAGTTATAGGTGTAAAAGCTTGTATTATGATTTTTACTTTCATCTGGGCGAGAGCCTCATTTCCACGTATAAGATATGACCAATTAATGTCATATTGTTGAACAGTCTTATTACCTATAGTTATTGCATTCATTATACTAGTCCCTTGTATCTTATATAGTTTCCTGTGTTATAGGTTATACTATCTTTTATAATGTATACTACGTTAAAACTTGTTATATTTAGAAAAAGGTAGGTCTTAAACCTATTTTATGAGAAAAGATGTAAAAATCCTTCCTTTTCTCTCTAGTATAACAAACCCCAGTTTATGAGTTGACATCTAATTGAAAATTGCATACCAGCCGCAACCTGGTTTGTAAGGGAGAAGCTTTTTAAAGGTTAAACTTTATAAAGATTAAAGCCCAATAAAAAAAAAAAAAAAAGATATAAAAACTTGTACAAGAATCTTCCATCTTTAAGGTTTTTTATATAAAATAAAAAACTCTTATTAGTTTAACGGTAGAACAAAAAGTACCTAAATTATATATCTAAATTCGAATTTTAGATAACAACACTAAAAGAAATAAAGAATAGAATTACGCTTTTTTACCTTAATATATTTATGGTGTGAATTAAATATTAACATATAGATTATATGTTTATACTTATGGAGTATTTATATGTTAGATTATTATATCTTTATTATCTAATTGAACATCTATTTCAAAAGATGTAGAGTCTTATGTAATAATAATACTATTGTTAGAAACTTTATTATTAGCAGTTTTCTTGGTATTAGATATTTTACTTTTCTATATATTCTTTGAAAGTATATTACCACCTTTATTCATATTTGTTAGGTTCTCTATTTTTATTACTATCTATATTGGCTATGTCATCTATTATGAGTACTACAGATTTTGATACTCTTTTCAAAGGGAATTTCGTTTATTTAACACAACTTTTCCTGTTTTATGGTATATTTATAGCTTTTGCAGTTAAAACACCCACAATTTTTTTAAATACTTGACTATTGAAAGCTCACGTTGAATCACCTTTAGGAGGAAGTATTATTCTAGCTGCTATTGTTCTTAAACTAAGTTTATATGGTATCTTTAGATTAATATTACCGGTATTACCTAAGGCTTATATGGAGTATACTTATATAATTTATTTAATAGGTGTTATTACGATAATCTATGCTAGTCTTAGTACTTTAAGAACAATTGACGTTAAAGAACTGATAGCTTATAGTTCAGTTTCTCATGCAGCAGTTTATCTTTTAGGGGTTTAGTAATAGTTTACAAGGGATAGAAGGAGGTATTAATTTAGGACTAGCACATGGATTGGTTTCACCTGGGCTATTTATATGTGCAGGTGGTATATTATATGACAGATCACATACAAGATTAATAGCTTTTTATAGGGGAATGGCTCAAATAATGCCGTTATTTGCAATATTCTTCTTTATATTATGTCTTGCTAATTGTGGTGCTCCCTTATCTTTAAATTTCATAGGAGAGTTTTTATCACTTTACGGAGTATTTGAAAGATCCTCATTGTTTGGTGTATTTGCTAGTTCTTCTATAGTCTTTTCAGCAGCATATACTATGTATATGTACCAAAAAATAAGCTTTGGAGGGGCATATTCAAGAATGTTTACAATTAATATACCAGATTTAAATAAAAGAGAGTTTATGGTTTTATTAACTTTAGTAGTGCCTACCGTTATTTTTGGTATATAATTTATTCACTTGATCTTAATATCATTGATTGTACTGGACCAGAAACTTGAGAAAATCTCTTTGATGTTAAAGATTGACCCGAGACTGGAAACTCTTCTGGTATTGATTCCTTTGGAGAACCATCTGACCCTGTACCTGGGAGAAGATGTCCTGCCTGTTTAGAAAGAGGTCAAACAGTATGAGTGATCCTCATATGGTATTTTTAAATAAACCCTGCAGAAGGTAGAGTTAATTGTTAATTATATATAATATCTTTTAATAGAATATAGAGATATTCTATACTTGAAAATTTAGACATATCTTAATGTAATTTACGATAAATAATCTACAAACCATCTTTTATATTATAAATACTCATTTATTTTTCTAATGGTAAATTGTCTTTATATCATATTTGCAATCTAGCGTAGATACCTTAAACTAAAAAAAAAAAAAGTATACAAATGTATAGTATGTATGAGATAATATTTTTTTAAGTAATCT